ACTACCACTACACTACTACCCCACTACCTACCACTACTACAACCACTACACTACTACTATACTACTACTACTACTACTACTACTACTACTACTAGTACTACTACTACTACTACTACTACTACTACTACTACTACTACTACTACTACTACTACTACTACTACTACTACTACTAGTACTACTACTACTACTACTAAAAATAATAATACTACTATTACTACTACTACCTACTACCTACTATTTTCTTGTACTGGTACTACCTTCCTGTGTTTCCTCCTCCGCCGCGTTTCTCCTCCTCCGTTTGTATCATTATTCTTATTGCCCTGTTCCATGCTTCTCCATCCTTCCGTTCCGTCCCCGCCTCTGTTTCTGACCGCCGTGATGCCCACAAGCGAGCCCAAGGTGATCGGGAGATTGCTGGGGCAGCTCCGCCAGGACGGCACACAGCAGGGGGGAGGGGGGGAATAAGGAATGAAGTGGAAGAGGAGGAGGAAGAGGAGGAGGAGGTGGTGGAGGAGGAGGAGGAGTAATAACAATATGACGAAGAAGAATGAAACGAAAAAGGAAGAGGAGGAGGAGGAGCAAGAAGACCAGTGTAAACCCAAGAATCATCAACGATGTTGAAGTTGGAACAAACCCTCCCTCCAAGCTCCCTCTTCACGGGCCCCCACAACGGTTCATTTCCATTGAGGGCTGCCTCTTTGGAAAAGAACCGTTTGATGACCCTGAAGCATGCCATAATATTTATCTCGGGATCCCAACACCGCGAAATCCACATTTTTGAAGCCACCCGCCCTCAACCCGTGAAACTATTGCGAATGTTGTAAGCGAATGCGCGCGGCACTAAAGCGAGACCCACATTTTGAAAAAGAACCGCCTTCAATCCGCCAAAAATTTGAACATAGAAACGAATGCGCGCAACGCTAAGGCGAGAGCTACATGTTGAAAACGACCCGCCCTCCATGTGTAAAACTGTAGCCAATTTTCCTGCTTCAGAGTCATAAGCGGTGAGGAAGTCCCAGGCGAAACGCCTGGAGGAGGAGGAGGAGGAGCAGGAGCAGGAGCAGGAGCAGGAAGAGAAGGAAAAGTGAAGAAGAGGGAAACGACGGAGCAGGAGGAAGTGAATGGGGCAGGACGAGAAACACGAGGAGCACGAGCTCGAGAAGCACGAGGAGCACCAGAAGCACGAGGAGCACGAGCTGTGCACAGCTGAGCAAGTAGTTTATCCAGCGCACTGCCGCCACTCCGGACCCTCGGGGTGCACGCGGGATGGGCCTGCTCGCGCGCGGAAGGGTGCCAAAGCGGCGGCGGCGTCGTGGGGTGCCACAGCGAGATCTGAGGCACCTTGTGGGATTTCGTGACTGCGCGTAGTAAACGCCGCACCACCAGTCGACGCTAAGATGCGTCTCAATGTGGGGCATTTTGTGAATTTAGTTCATTTTGTTCTGTGCATGTGCAGCTGCGAGCGTGTCTTGCAGGTGCGAACTGGCTTGCCGACACTGTTGTGGCGGCTGTCTTCGCAAATTCGCTCCGTGCCGCATCCCGGACGCTGCGTCCGCTCCCTGACCTTTGCCTTGGAGCCGCGAACCAAAAAAGTATTAAACACCGCGCGCTCCGCGAGGAGCGTTTTAAATAGCTTGTAGGCGCCAGCCTTGGCACACGCAGCGGCCGACGACGACCCTGCCGACGTATTGGACGTCGTCTTCAGCTATGACGCCTAGCGCGTCTCCGTCGACATCGCCGTTGCGGGCGCGCGCGCAGACCCGACGCGAGTCCAGGCAGCAGCTGGCCGGGACGGGGCGGCCGCCGCCGAAGAGGAGAGACCGAAGCGGCAGCGCTACACGGGATTGAACATGCAGTCAAAAACCTCAGTAAGGACGCGCGGCTTTGCTCAGGATGCCCTTGCGTCCTTGCTCTTCCTTGCTCTTGCGTCCTTGGGGTTTTCGTCGTCCGCCGTCCCAAGAATCCCAACTTCGGTTTCCAAGGGTCTTGCGCCCTTGCCGCGCGTCCTTATTAGGGTGTTTGACTGTATCCCCGTGCGTCCTGGAGGTCGGGGGCCGCCCCGGCGAGAGCGCCCAGGCGAACGTCCGGCTGTCGCGGCGGGCGGTGAAGCGAAGTCCTCCGCGGCTGGCTGCCGGCCTCCGGCAGGAGGAGGTCAGCACAGCCCTGCAGGCTTCGGTAGCCTGGCGCGTGTCCAGCGCTTACGTCTGCCCGGATTCCCAGTCCCTTGCGGGCTCGAGGAAGGGCCCGAGGACAGGCGAGACGGGCTGGAAGGCCGCGGGTGCTGACGCCGAGGACGAGGACGAGACAGAAAAGGCCGGAGAGGAGGAGGAGGAGGAGGAGGAGGAGGAGGAGGAGGAGGAGGCCGAGGACGAGGAGGAGTTGGCAGAGGCCGAGACGAGAGGGAGGCAAAGGCGGAGGAGGAGGAGGAGGAGGAGGGGGAGGAAGAGGAGGAGGAGGAGGAGGAGGAGGGGGAGGAGGTCGAGGAGGACGAGAAGGACGA